TCTTAGGGAGGGGGTTGGTCCATGTTAAGAAAAACGCTTTGACAGAAAAAAGAATTTTACTTAGTAGTTATATTTTATTAATAATTTCTTGTACAGTAAATATACAGAAAGGACCGCGTTTTTATTTTGTGGTATTGGGGGGGGGGGGGGATTCCCAAATCACCCCTTCTGCATATGCCCATGATTTTAAGCATGAATGATACATCTTCCTCTAGAAAACTCGGTTGTAATATTAATAAAAAACCAATATTCTATAATAGCCCATCATTGACCGTAAACTTTTTCAGAGAGGGTATGCTTGAATTTTTACATCTGTTTTGTTGTTTTTTATAAATTCAATGAACCCTGATGATATATAATTAAACATATTTAAGGTGAAACTCTGTAAACCAGCTTGTTCATGTTTTAATACTTTTAATTTTTCTAAATTTGAAAAATATGTTGTTCAATGTTTTCAGATGGTGAACAAGAAGCCAGTTATATACCATTAGAAACCAAAAAAAGTTCTAAAATAAAAAATCCTTTGGACCCTGGCGAATTCAATCCTTTCAAATATGACTCATCAGATTCTGAAACAGAAGAAGATCCGAAACAAGAGCTTTCTCAATATACTGAAATCACTAATGTATGGAAAGAAAATTTATTTTTTTCAGAAGGTGATAAAAGACTTAAAGGTTAATATTTATTTTATTTATTTAATTTTACTCATTTAGTGTCACTTATAGCTAGTTAAAAATATGTATATGTAGATTGATGAGCACTGAAATATAACACTAGCAAACATTAAAGGTGGGTTGTATCACATGATTGATTAATATCGTAACACTTATTAATTTAATGAATGTTAACTCATAACGCCATATATGTCCATTATTTCAATGGCCCAATAAGCATCTATTAACGTTAATAAGTTTGTAGAAACAAATGTTTTTACCAGAAAACAGGAAAAAAACATTTTACATAAAAATGATTTCACTTCATGAAAGTCAAGAATGTTAATGGAAATAAATGTAATATTATTTAAGATTTCAGAGTATTTTTAATCGACTTAGTACCATTTTAAAATTAAGTGCAACTAAAGTCCATATCAGTGGAACATTGCTCTATGTCCATTGTCTATATAATATTCTTCAAAAACCAAGATTTATTAGAAATTTCTTTCTTTAGCTAAGTAATGATTATAAAGCATGTCTACATTCATGCATCTTTTTGTAAATAAGTAGAATACTTTTTAGAATGGTTATAGGTCAATAATTGTATAATTAGATTGGAATTGCAGATAAAATAATTAATTCTTTTTTAAAAATAACTGAATTAAATTGTAAATGTCATCTACTATGCATGACTTTAGGTTATTGTCAACATATACTTATTGTATGATAACTAACATTGAGTCATTAACCTATATATTACATATAGATATTATTTACTTATTTATTAATAAATTAGCATCCTGCCCTCGAGGTCATCCACGTGGAATAGAATGTGTTCCTTCCTCTTTTATTTTGAACACTTTAGATTGTGTCCCCCTTTCAATTGTGGTCGCGGCACATTTCCTAATTTTGATCTTTGAATAATTTCCTCTTAATTCTATTGCCTATCCTACAATTGGTCTCGACCCCGGTTCTGTTTTCAATTTTGGTACTGATCCCAGATGTGAACTGTGTTCCCCATATCGTTTTCAATTCCGATACCGCTACCAGTCCCAATTTGTATTATGCTAAATCAAATATTAGTATCAAAATAAAATATAAACTATATTACTCAGAGATAGTGTGTGTAGTTTAAAATAAAAGAAATTTTGAATCAAAGGTACCTTGTGTCCTTTTCTGTACCCCTCACAATCTGTATGCAAAATTTCGTGATTATCAGTCCGACAGTTAAAACTTGAAAGAGTAACACACAAACAAACTCACTTGCGCATTTGTAATATCATTCACTAATGATTTTGGTACTAAATGAACTCATCTATGCACATCATGTATTGAATGAAATTGGAGTATTCATAACATTTTTGTAACAGATAATATTCAATATGCATTTATTATGTGACATTGTTCAAAATTAATCACAACAGTCTTCATTATAGTAATAACCTGCTTTTAAAAACAAAATGCATTAACCAAATCATAATATAAAATTAAAACATTTTAAAGCTTCATGTAGGGTGCATCAAAAAAAAAATTTTTTTCTTTAGCAAAGAGCTTTAAAAGTTTGTTTAAGTATAAAAGTAAGCTTACTAAAACATACAAGATTTTTTGTAACTAATTTACATTGGATTGTTATTATTGGTCTTTTTTTTATATAATAATTTGGCTAACGTTGCTGATGCACATGAACTAATTGTAATTAATACTGTGGGTTGATCTTTGGTGAGGCAATTATAATATTCCACAAGCAATGCTATAACGCATACTCCTCATTCAGCTGTCATTAGTTACTTTTAATGTTTTGAAAAATTCCATCTTTATAATTCTCATCACTAGAGCGTGTTAAAAATCTTAGATGGCACTACTAATTTTATCTTTGTTAAGACTAGAAGTTCTACTCTTAACCTCAAAAATCAGTAAAATTTTCATTTAATTTAACTTTGCTATTGATTAACCTTTGAACAAGTGGATTTATGACCTAAGAGCATTTTTGTGGAGTATTTAATTTTTTTAACATCAGAATGTCTGGAGACATGATATGTGTGATATAAAAATATATTGTTAGCAAGTTATAAAATTAATAATTTCTTACTCATATTAAAAATTAAAATGTGCAATGTGGGTTCTCTTTATACTAATATTAAGAAGTCATGTTTTAACAGGCTTATTTTTAAACTTAACAAAATTTTCTTGTTAGTGAAAGAAAGAAAATTATTTTTTTAATCACTATTAAATAGTTTGTGTGGTATAGTAATTGCATTTATCATAAAAAAAAAATGAGAGTCTGAAATATATTTGTAATGTACACGATGAATGTCTACAATGGTCTTATTTCTTAACTTAACTTGAAGTACAAATTGTAAATAAATTAATTACTTGTAAATAAATTAATGGATATACAAATTTTATCGGTGTTGACAACTCATATAATAAATGCAGTCATATTTAAATCATGGTCACATATAGTTTTAACAGTATAGTTTATATTAAAAGACTTTTTAGCAATATATGGTTGTTTTTACTTCCACAGAAGGGTTGGCTTTCTTCAGTAAAGCTAATGACCCAATCAAAAAAGAAAGACGAGATTTGAAGTCAATTATGAAGAAGAGGCTGTATAACAAAGATAGGAAAAATCAAATGTTTCAAAAGAAAATTGGCGGCAGAAAAAAATCATTTAAAAAGAGTACTCGAAGAAGAAATTAAATATATGTATATTGTTTTTAATATTGACTTGTGTGTACATGTTTCCTTACATTTACTTTTGAATCCATTTTTCTTACAAGCATGTATTTTATCCCCATTTTTTTCATCTTAAATATTTTTCAAACGGTGCGGAATATGTTATGCCATATAAGCAACGGTTGACTTTGTAGATCAGCCTCGAAACTTCAATTTGACTTCAGCTTTAATCCTTGTGAACATCATTAGGCATTTAATAAATTGGATTGAAAAGTTCAGAAAATACAATCTTAATTTATCAAATAACTTTGTAACTTTATAAATATTTTCAATTTTCTTAGAGGGTATTAAAAAAAAAAAATTTGATTTGAACATCACTATGTGTAATACCGTAAGTTAAACTCAGTATTAGTTGCTATTCTAAAATGGCATTGATCTCTCAACTCATTTTTATTACCCACTTGTTAATTTTTATCATCCATGCAATTTACTGTCGCAAACTACGAAGCGAACCATCGCATCGTCAAAATATCTACTCCATACCCTTTCGTGTTAGGGCTGCATTCGCGAACCCTATTCATGACACGCGGCGTAAACGAAAGAGTCTTAAAACCTTAGGTGGATACTTAAGAGTTTGTAGTTTATTATTTTTTATTACACTCATATTTTAGACTAACTTTTGCCCCTCAATTTCGTCCGTGAGAACTATAGAATTTGTTGAAAAGGAGTTTAGATTTTAAGTTAGATCTTAAATTACCAAACTGCCATAAACTACATCAAAATTAATTTTACTTAGCCTTTCATTACAGACTATCTATTGACCATTTTTTTATAATACATTATTATAATTTTATATTGTACATTCAAACTTAAAACTTACATTACTAAAATTGTGCATATATAAATTTGTGATGTCATACAGAGATTTGACTCGGCATAATTTTATTACATAATAATGATGTCGAAATGTATATTATTCGTCACTAAAAATATATTAAAAACAATGAATTTCATTAATATTAAAAGCCCAACTGCAAGAAAAAGAATATTGAAAAATAAAGAACAAGCTGAAAGATTATTGAAAAAATTATAAACTCAACTACTAAATGCATGCCATATCGACTGGACACTATAAATGATTTCAGAACGTTGGTTAGTGAATTCAATGACCAATCTTAGATTGTTTGTAAACCATTAACGGTTATTCAAAAAATTGTTGATATAGTTGATTAACATTTAGATGCAATAAAAAAAAATCGTCTATTTTTTGTGAATGTTAAACATAAGCGGTACAGATATGAGCAATTTTAAGTTTTTTGAAGATATTGAGCATCACAATTATTCTTAACCAGACAAGGTTAAATCAAAAATGCATTGAAAAGCATCTCTAACATTTATACTGATATATAAACTTGAAGAGTTTGTATGTTAGAATGCGTTAGCCTAGGGCATTACTAGTAGGATTTCGAAAATTATATTTGTGCTAACGCGTTTATTTAGCACAATTATAAATGCTATTATTTTTTCAAACTGAATGGTTTCAATTTGACTCAGTCATACTGTATTTTTGAAACGAAATTCGTTTTATCTTACATTACACTTAGGTGGTCTGCAGATGGGAGCTACACGAATAAAAGTAACCGCAACGAATAATGCTGACCGCTGTTGCTTTACGTCTATGCCACGCTGTATAAACATATTTTCGTCCGTTCAGCGAAATTAAGCAGCGTCGGGCACGGTCAGTACTTGGATGGGTGACCGCCTGGGATTATATGATATTAGCTTTTTTTGGTGTTGCATATTTTTATGGTAATTTATAACAAAATATTAATTATAATTTTTATTAATTTATTCCATTGTGATTGTATACAATTTCCATTTTTTTCTGCAATATTAAACAAAACTTGGATTGTTTCAGTTCTACAGGGTATTCAATTTTAAATTTTCCATATATGAATATGTGAAAGTGACATCTATTATTGATTTCATAGTTACATAATTGAACAATTTGATGAACTTAACAAAGTCTTTAATAAATAAAACAGATGGCGCTGTATAGTATTTTTTAGAATTCTAGTTAATAAAAAATATTTAGAAATTACAAAAATATCTTACCATTTATTCATTTATATTGTTATTATTTATTTAATTACATTCTAAGGTTTTATATAATTTCATTATTATTATTATTCAATTCATAAAATATATTTACATATAATGAAAGGAACTTTGTCCCAACTGTAAGTTAATGCTATTTTCTTCAGAACTGAAGTCTGATACACAAGTTAGATATCCACAAAAATCATCACATATTGTTAGCTCACATATACAGCGATTTGGGTATTTTCTATAATAAGTCATTTGCTTTTTGTAAAGTATATTATTTGGTAAAATAGAACTGATTATTGAACTCCACAAATGACCACTAGAACTCCTCAATTATATAATTTCATGGATCACAATGATATTTATTATTATTATAAACTCGGGTCTATTTCTCAGAAGAGCAGGCAGAGACTACAGATTTAACATGGTATAATCTTTACATATCTCTTGCATCATGGACATCAAATTTACCCTTTTTTAATGCCATAATTTTGTGTACTTAGGATTTTCTGGGGTACTCATGCCAAACTTTCTATTGCATACATTCGCTCTATAGATTTGTCAGTCTATTTTCATTTATGCTTTCCAAATGGCCAAACCACCGAAATATACCTTTTTCTACTCTAGTCATTACATCTTTCCAACTATATCGCTTTTTGTCATCCCTATTCCCACATCTGTCTTTTTGCGACACTCCACACATATTACGCAGAGATCGCGACTCCATCGCATTGATCCAACTTTCATTTTTCGTCTGCCATATCCAACTGTTACTTATCTTGCATGAAGGGATCAAAACCCCATTATAAATAGCGTAACCTGTTTGTGTTGTGAGATACTATCATGATTAGGACCACATTCACCATATATATATATATATATATATATATATATATATATATATATATATATATATATATATATATATATATATATATATGTATATAGGATCAAAGTGGGGAAGTCCGGCATAGATTTCGTTTATACCTCATGTTAATATATTTTATGTATACCCCGTAACTTTAGAAAAGACCTAGTGGAATTTTATGTACTATTAAAATAATATTTATAAAATGTTATTGGAATGAACTTTGTGTAGAGGTGGAAGGTCTACATTTAAAAATATATGATATAAAACTATTTTTATAGGGCAAGATCGGCACAAATGTGAATTCAGGTTCGTAAACATTTTTTATTGTAGTATCTAACAAACAAGTGTGGTTAATAAACAATGAAATAAATTCGTATTCGTTCGTAATTCAATAGTGCCCTGACACAGTTTAAAATTTTCACTGAAAGGTGAAAGGAAGAAAAACTAAGTGAAGGGAAACTAAAGGAACATTAGTTGAAACCAATAAGTATTACAAATTTGTGTTTATTTATAAAAAGAAAAGTGTGGTAGAAGTACCTCAAAAATTACAACTAACACTAATATCATAATAAGCTATGTTGTTTAGAGATATCTTAACCACATTATTAATTTATCTTATAATCTCATTAAAAATTAGATAAAAACAATGGAGTAGAGACTACTTAAATTATTCTTAATATTAATTGAAACTATAAGAACTGGAACTGTTTAGTGTTTATTTACTTCTTTTTAATAATAAAAGCACTGTTTTGAGTATGATTGCTTAACAAACTACTTTGTTTTGACACTGAATATAAATATTAACAGTCACAATAAATTATTATAGATAGCATTATAAGCAAAATAAAAAGAGTTATTTTTATTCTCAGGTTTGAACTATATTTAAAACTAAAACTTAAGTGTAGTATCTCTTTTTTTTCTGATCCATGACATTTTACACCTACCGCTTTTGTCTTTTTTCATCAACGTTCCATAACACAGACTGGTATTCTCTTAGATTCAGTTCATCTTATTTGTCTTTTCAAGCAGCTTGAAATAGGAATATATGTTGTAGGAATCAGCGGCTTCTATACAATCGCGGAAGTTTCTTACAGATAAATTGTCTTTTTTTTTAAATGACAAATACCATGTTTTTCCAATTTGCCATCTTTAAATTGAGTTAATAAAATCCATTAGGCTTGACAGAATGACCAACCAATTCCAATATTTCTTGTTTGCCGAGTTGAAATCTGTGTTCCTCCATTGTATGCAAGCTTGCTGCTATTTTGGATTCTATTTCTCGAGAAAGAGCAGTGGTCCTCCCTAATGTGTTAAAATTCAATCTTATTCATGTACATTTTAACATGAGTTTATTCTCTAAAAAATGTTTCTTTTATTGTTTTGACATATGTTTTTATGCATACATACATACATACATATGCTCTATTTCGACAGTCGGTCACTCTACTGCTATAGATAATTACACTGAACCTATATGTGATTTAGTCTGTCTATATAGACGTACTATATGTCTAAATTAGACATATGGTATATTCGATGACTTGATTTGACGATAGGCATTGTTTTTATTTGGCAATTTTTTTACCTTTTCGTGCAAAAGTAGAAAAAATTAAATTTCAAAGTAAATTAAGTATTTATTTATATTTTCAATAAATGTTGAGAAATCAAATCATATAAGATTCAGAATCAGATTTACATGTTTGTTCCTTCTATAAGTTTGTAACAATTTCATTTACTTATTAAATTTTCTTTATTTTTTTGGTTATGCAGTTAGATTAATAGTTTGTAAATTCATTTCAGTGCATTTTTGATGTTCATGTAGTAGATGAGAACTGTGAATTTTTTTCATTATGAGAATGAAATAAATTATAATGAATACAGAGATATTTAATTAAAAAAAAATAAAACATCATAATAAGTTTATTTAATAGCCTGAAAAAGCATTTTGCATATTATCGTTTCTTCCAAGTACTCTTCTTTCTTGCACCTGGTTGACCAGGTTTCTTACGTTCTCGCCGGCGATAATCACGCGTTAGTAAGCCAGCTACATGCATTTTGTCCAACATATCTTTATCCACAAAACTACGTAAACCCCAAGCAATGCCCCAACGTATTGCGCCTGACTGACCTGTGTATCCGCCACCTTCAATAGTTGCTTCAACATCAACACTATTTTGCATACCAGTGAAAATCAATGGAAACAAAACTTGTTCTCGTGGTTGTATATCAGCAAAGTATGTTAAATCTTTACCATTGATTATAATTTTACCTGTACCAGGAGAACGGATGGTCACTACACCCCTGGCAGATTTTCTTAAGCATTCATAGGTGGTTACATATGCACGGCCATTTTCATCGTAATTAGGTTTGGGTATTTCCAATGCAAATCTCTGAGAGCTTAGCGATTTTCTGTACTTTTCAATAAACTCTTTGTGTCTATATGAATATGGTAAAGCTACAAGCCTATCCATGGCTCCAATAAAATTATTATATTTTAAATCAGAAACTTTTTCAACTAATAATTTTTCTAAATGATCTTTTGTTACCCATAATGTAGCATCTAAATTTAAAGAAGCATTGGGATCAGGAACTGCTTTCTTGCGTCTTACTTTATCATCGAACCGGTACAGATCTTGCATATTTTCTACAATGTCATAGAGAAGTTTATAAAAATTTGGGCTACCTGTATAAAATAAAAAATGAAAAGGTCTGCCAGCTTCATCAAACTCTGCAGCTTTACGCGTAGGAAATACTTCTTCTGGGGGTTTCATAAGAGGCCTTGCGGCTGGATCATATATTCCACTAGGAAATAGGTATTCAATAGCGCGGTCTACGTCTTTCTGAGTAAAGGTTTCAGGATCTTCACCCATCATGTTTGCAAGATGTCTTTTACCAATTTTGTATTCAAATTGTTGTTTTTCCATAAATTCATCATGTTCTTTGGCTCTTTCTAAATAAGCTTTCATTGCTTTGTTGATTTTTTTGCCCTTATTCAAAGTTTCCCAATCAGTCATTTGCTCAAAACCGGATTTTTTTTCTGTGGTAGAACTATACATTTTATTAATATTTAAGTAAAAAGGTGCACATTTTTTTAGGGGTATTTGTAAAATGGGCAATCTCTTGATTTCTACGTTTAAGAGTGATATCATTGGTTTGGTAAAAGCTAGCATTTTTGCTTTTTTTTTATTAATTTCACTAGTACAAAAACATTAGGTTAATTAACTTCACGTAAGAATTCAACGTTCTTTAATAAAATTCTTACCGTCCAGAACGTTAAAAATTCGAGTTGTTATGATAATTTATGGTTGGAAATATTGAATACTCATTTCATAATTAATAGGAGTAACTATTTTTACTGTTTTCTTAAGAAATATCGAAAGCAGCAATATCATAAAAGGATAACAGAATCATTATCCACAGAGTATGAGAATATTATGCTGATTTGGGCGTTTTACTAGCAAGTCTTACGAGTCTTATTAGCCAATTCAAAATGAAATTTAACCACAGAAAAAAAACCTGCAATTTTATTTCAATATTTTATAGTTTATTGCAAATGAAGTTACATTTATTAAAAACTAGCTGTCCCGCCCGCTTCGCTAGGTAATTTTTATCTATTAATAAAATGGCGAAGGATTTACGGAATTCGAAAAATGAGTAGCCTAGAACCATCTACAAATCATTCCGCATCGAATGGTCCCAGTCCCATGTCTATACGTTTAGTAGTTTTTACGTGATTGGCGAACAAAGACAACCTATTTTCATTATATTTGTATAGATTATATATTTAAAAAA